ATATGAGATTGCCAAGCATGGAAAGCCGGTTCCTTGTGAGGCACTTCTAGTGAGTGATCCGTCTGCTGGCTGCCTCTACGAGGTTCAGAAGGAGTTTGAATTGTGGGCAGGGCACGCCAACCTGAAGGTACTGGCCAAGCACGAATACTGGAAGGATGTCAACAAAGACCAGTGGTTCATCCGTGCAGCCAGGTGCCAGAAAGAGTGTTTGCCGTCAGCTGGATGCCGGCCGATGTGTGCACAGTGCCAAGAGCTTGGAAAGGCGAAAGGAGTGTGCAAGGTTGTCCTCCGCTTCGCCCAAAAATATTTCCTTGCCGTTTTGCTGTCAGCCAGGTTGTTTCAGGACAGTGAAAGAAGGCAAGAAGTTGAAGCTGAAATCAAGGACTCCTTGCTGTACAAGAAGGATCCAAAGCGGATGCAGCAGATCTTGGACCTGAGCAACAACAAATTGCAGCAGCTTGTTCGGGCATCCTGGCTGAAGGGCACTGATGTTCACAGCACCGAGACGCAGGGCAAGTTCATGACATCCGTTGTGAAGCCTGCGCTACGCTTCAACATCAGTACAGTGCCCAACTGCTTCTCAGATGTGCTGACACGCTTCTCCGCCTCCATTGCCTCCGGCTTGTTCAGCGACAGAGATGTGGCGAAACTCAAAGTTGCAGCAGGCGTGCTGGACGGCCGATTGGACGAGCATCCCCTACTGCATGGGTTAAGCCTGCAGTGTATGAGGCTACTGGAGAAACAGCAGCGCGGACTTGAGACCATGAGAGGGAGGAGAAGCCAGGAATCCTGTTTGGAGTCTAGCCTGATCAGCGATGCGGGGCTGCGGCTTGCCATGATGAGCAACAACAAGAGCCTTGCAAGGGAGTTGCTCTGATAAATTATTTGTTTGACTGTCTCCAGATCACTCATTTTGTAGACCATCAACTTGGTGAGCCAGTCAATCTGTAGACACATGTTTGCGCACCCTCATTCTGTAGAAACCATTGGCCTTTTGTTTGCCGCATGCAACTGTTCAAGACGCGCACACTATCGTGCACTGTTTGTACAGTCTTTGTTGCAGTGTTGCCAGTGTTGTGTATTTTTGTGTGGCTCGTGCCATGGACTTCAATGCTGAGAACGCGACAGAGGGATTCGGGTTGGTTGACTGGATGTACCTTGCCCTCCCTGTCATTGCGTTGCTTGCAGGGTGGGAGTTTGCAAAGCTAGCTCTCCGCTTGTCGTGGGTGTTCATGGGAATGGCTACAGCGAAAGTGAAGGGGGATGAAGCAACCATGTCAGAAGCCGTAGATACCAGCAAGAAGAACGAACTCACTGGTGGCCCGAAATGCGCTGCACTCATCATGCAGGCAACTGATTTACTTCGGTATGTCACTGATCCATCATGGTCAGATGCAGAGTTGGCTCAGGTGCAAGATTTGATCCATCAGTGGACCAAACCACCATCTCGGCGGGGTGCAGACCGTTGGCTGACGGATGGGCCATGGCATGTCCGAGTTCACTCAAAAGGGCGGATCACAAAGTTTCATCCCTCTCACCGTGGAACGCCTTTCCCGGAGTCCTCGCTGCATCATTTCAGGGTCACATTTCTGTGGCACCACTCAGACTCGACGATGTCGGCTTCTGAGACCAGACACGTGCACGTGGAAAGGGGCTTTCCTGCAGAGAAACTTGAGAGCCAGTGGGTCGGGTATTCCTTCTTTTTGACATGCACCAATGATTGATTTTGTTTGCACTTGCCAGAAACTGGCTTTTAAATGCTTTTAATTCGCGAGCTACGCTGTGTGTAAGACATGGTCAATGGCTGCGGAAGTCTATGCAATGCTTGCTGAGGGGGAGGTCTGTGCAATGCTTGCTCTTAGAAAATGGTAATGCTTTCACATTAAGCCTACAAAATGTGGGTTCTGGCAGCCCCTTTCCACTCAGGTTTGGCATGTCCTGCAGCTTCAAGTCAAAGATTGAGGACCTTTCGGGAATGAGCTTGCCAACTCCCTGTTTGTCCATTATGTATCCGGACGTGCTTATAACAAACTTTGAGATCCTGGACCAGCGGTATCCAATGCACCATGAGAGCACTCACAGAACTTTGGCCACAATCATCCAAAGTCATCCAAATTCCACAAGTTTCTTTTTTTTGAGCCCCATACAGGGTTTGGTGATCTTGTCATTGTGTAAACCCTGTACTCAAAGGCCATGTTTTTGTAGGCATTGATCCAGAAAACACTCATTTTGTAGAGATCAGTTTCTGCCTGAGGACGTTTGTGGTCAGCTTTCGACTGCACCTACTTGACGCAAACATTCTCGCAAATGAACCTGCATGGAGCGATCGGCCTGGTCGGCGGAGCGTATGACAAGGAGAAGCCAGGGCAGGCATTCGTTGACTTGGAATCTGACAACCTAGACACCAAGGGGTTGGTCAAGGCGGCATCAATGCTGGAGGTGCTCTGTTGGGATCCTTGTGGATTAGCAAAATGTCCGTTGTCTGTGGCAGCCATCCCCTTAGACAGCACTCTTGGAGGGCAGAATTCTCAGATGTCTGGCTTAGTCATGATGCAGATGGTTGGCGAGGTTTTGGAGAAGTCGGGCGGCATCATCAAGGGAATCACGTTTGATGCTCATGGTTCCCACCAGATGATTCGTCGGGTTCTTCATGGCCAGCTGGATGGGATTGATGCGGAGGTTGTCAAGTCTATGCCATTTTTTGGCAAGCTGATCCATGTACCTCTTCCCAAAAACGATCTTCCAAGGCTTCCCATTCAGATATGTCTCTATGAAAAGCAGGTCTTTTATGGCCAGACAGGACCGTGTTCCCTGGCATTTCAATGCATTTCATTGATTTTCATTGATTTTCATTGTATTTTGATTGTTTTTTTAATGAGTTTCTGCAAGTTTGTTAATATCGGTATGTGCGAGGCTGATGCAGGCTAGTCATTTTGTAGAGACCTGCATGGGTGATGTGATTTTGTAAGGTCATGCTGCAAAGAATGCCTCAGGGCAACTGAACTCCTGCTTGCGGTTGGTACACTATGGTTCCTTGTGGGCCGATTGCACAGGTTGCCTGGAGCACGGCATGCCACCAAGCGTTTATGCGCGCCTGAGCCCTATGTCAGATCGCATGAATGCATTGCTGCTCAATCCGTTTTACCTCGTAGAAAGCATTGAGGCTAAGCTTTGATTGGAAGTTTATCCATCGTTTTGATTATATACTGTAAGGTTTGAATATCTTTGAATATCATTGACTGTGATTTTTATTGATTTTGATTTATTTTTTCATTTATATTCATTTATGATCCTTTTGAATCATTTTGATTCATTTCCCGGACCGTATCCAGACTGTGCGTCAGGACTGCGATCTGGCATCTATGTCCGTACCGTGGCACCTGAAAGGATTCACCGTACACAATGCGGTGACAGCTCTTTGCATTTGCCCTTCCAATCACAAGAACATGACGGTCTCTCAGAGATGTGAGTTGTCTTTGACTGGCTTTTTGGCCTTGGACTTGTTTAAGCTGGTCGCCGACAAACTTTGCCAAGAAAAACGTGGGCCGCGAGGCAGCTGTTTCATGGCAAGTCAGACTGTTCTGATGCTGCAATCGACAGCCTTGACAACAGTAGTCATTTGCTGCACGAAAGAGCCTGAATGGAACCCCTGGCATTATGGATTCCAACGCTTGTCCGAACAAAGCATCGAGCAACATTTTGGCCATCTCAGGTGTCAGGCCACCAATGCTCAATTGAGCACAAGGGCATACTGGCTTGCGTCTGCCAGAACCATGATGAAGACCAATGACGATCTCAACAAGAGCAAGAGGGCAAGGCCAAAGGATGTGGAACCACCCCTGAGTGACGAACAGCCCCTTGCTTTAAGAGCCGGCTGGAGGGTCTCTACAGGATCATTGGATTGGATATTAATGTCTACAAAATGCAGTGCCCAGATACACTAGATTGTTATCTAAAAGATTGATAAATATTGATGTATTAGGCCATTACTATTACAGTCCAAAAGCTGTCCCATCTGGTCAGTGTCTTTCAGTGTTTGGCCTGATTTCATACATTAAGAAATGAATACAAATGGACAGACAGAATCGAGATCGATTGGGGTTCTCTACAGAATCAATGGGTTAGGGCTGGAGGTCTACAAAATGTGTGCAACAGATCCCCATTCTTGAATTGTTTCTGAGGTTCCGTGCTTGCTGCAGCAGAGCATTGGAAGCATCACTGGCCTTGGTTAGTGCGTGCAGTGGCATCAACACTAAGCAGTTGGAGCAGATGTATCGAGACCTTTGCTCTGAGGAAAGTGGTGATGGTTTCTTGGCTTTGGACGGAGAGATGGAGCTGGATGAAGATTTGGACGAGGGTGGCTTTGAGAATGGTGACAATTGTATGGGCTTCCTCCAGCAGCTTCAGGATGAGACCAATCTGATGAAGGATGACCCGGAACAGAAGATTCCAGCAAAGCAGGAGGACAAGATGCCGGACCTTGAGGGTGTACCTGACAGCAAACAACTTCGTGACATTGTGTCAGCATCTTGCCCCACTGATCCTTTCAGATTGGAGAATAGCGTTTCTCCCAAGAAAAAAACGGACCGATATGCTTTGCCTGGCACGCTGCTGGAGGCTTTGGGCATGGCGCAGCGTGGGGGATGCCTGTTCAACGCTTTGTTCAGGCTTTTGGTGTTCCTTCGCAGCTCCACGGGAGGAGCTGATTTGGGCTGGGTGCGAAACCCACGAAATGCACGGAAAGCTTCCAAAAGATTGAACTGGCATCAGTGTTTAGGCTGAAACAGTGCATGTTTATCCCCCAGACCATTCATTTTGTAGACAAACAAGTCTGTGCACCACTCAATCTGTAGACACTGTTTGCATAGACTCATTATGTAGAAAACATTTTTTTACAACCTTGTTGGGTTAATGTTATACTTTTCTACAAAATGCATCAAAATGCATCAACGTGCATACTCCATCCTATTCCAAGGTACAACGAGCACAGACTCGCTCAAATGGAAGCTGAGAAGGCGGAGCCTTCTTACCGGAGCAGGACCGGTAGACTCGACAAGTGGAAGGAGCTGGTCCGGGCAGCGCAGGAAGAGTTAGAAATGCCGGCAAGTCCGCCGGAGAGAATCTCGTGGCTTAACTATGCTTAACTTGTGCCAGCTGCTTTTGGTTTTGTTTTTTTCTATTGGTATTTCCTTCAGAGGTGGTTTGTCCATGCATTTTATAGAGCATCAAACTGAGTTCTCTATTTTGTATTGAAACCAGAAGTGTTCCAAACATGTGATCCATTTTGTAGTGAGATTGGTGGATCAATGTCTCTTGAGGCCTGGGAACGTAGTGCTTTTCATCAAGCCCAATGGCAAGCAAGAGGTTTCGCTGGGAATGGTGCTGTCTGCTTGGAGGGGCTTGAAGGCTCCAAAACTCCATGCTTCTGAGACTCCCATCAACAGCTGTGTGGGATTCAGAGTGATCGAACTTGAGATTTCAGACGAGAATTTGCATCCTGCCACAGCTTGGCAATGTGGGGGCGAGTCTCCCGCGTGGGTGGTGCGGATGGAGAGTTTGGTGTGCATTCTTGATTGTGAGAAATGTATTTTGGTTGGCGCTTGATGGAAGTCTGTTTTTTTTAATGTTTTTGTATTGTTTTTTAATATAAAGTGATTTTGCTTATGGTTATCATTTTGTAGGTTTTCTTCAGGGGCCCAGCATTTTGTAGACAAGGCGTGCAGCCCTTTGACAACAATGGCTTCATGCGGATCCACCTCACCGTGCAGAGTGCTGAGGCGTTGACCAGGGTAGAATCAATGAGGCTGTGGGAGGTGCAGCCCGCTATGACTCGTGGTCGCAAGACTGCAAGTGCGAGTGCGAAGACGAAGACAACCCGCAAGTTTGCTCGTCGCAGGAGAAAGCCTCAGTACAAAGTAGGTGAGAATGGTGTTCCAGTCCTGGTTCAAAGGCCAAAGAAGTCAAGGAAGAAGGGAGCAAAGAAAGAAAAGCCAAAGGTTTTGACAGAGGATCCAACCGCAAAGGATTTCCGCAGGTCATCGAAAGGATCCAAGCTCATCCGGGAAATGCTGAAGGATTTCCGGGAATTGGACTGTCGGGCCTTTGCATCTTCACCTATCTTTGACCATTCCGGACAGTGCCGCATGAAGTATCCTCCTGCTGCCGATGTGACCTTTCAGGACATTGTGGAGAATGGCCCAGCATGTGTGGAGATGTTGCCGCTCAGATCTCATGGCAGTTCTTTCACCAACAATACCCTTTGTGATTCATTGTTTGTTTGTTAAGACTATGATGGTTCCAAAAGGAGTGACTACAAAATGACCGTGTTGGTGCGCCAGGTACAAGAGTGTGAGGAAGGCTTCTTTCTATGGTGAGGCAGTGTCCAAGCTCTTCAATGGGATCCGCCAACAACTCACCCGAGAGGAGCCCAAGCGTCAGGCATTCCTGCGCTTGGTTAAGGAGATTGTGGACTTCATTGCCCATCAGCGAAGGAAGCCTGGGCAGCCTGTCCTTGCGCCGTGATTCCAGAGATGCACTTCCATGTGAGAGAGCTTTGAGCGCAGGAATCATATCCTCATTGAAAGTTGCAATAGGATTCAGACCATTCATTTTGTAGACCTTCAATCTGTAGCCGCTCACTCTGTAGACACATGTTTACACACACTCATTCTGTAGCAACATCATTCTCATCATTTTTCATTCATTTGCTACAAAATGACTGTTCCACCCTATTTCAACACCAACGCACCACCCTGTTTATTTCAATGGGGATGCACGTGGATTGGATACAAGTAGGATTGAGTAGGACTTTTGGTTTTGCAGCTGTGCAAAAAGCACTCTGAAATTTTCAATGATCTTGAACGCAGTGCACTAGAAGAGGGCCAGTCCATTTTTTCTATTAATCCATATTAATCCATGATGATTTCTGGTGTCGGTGTCCACTGGATGGCCATGGTGATGCTGCATAGCTTAGCTATGATCCCAGCATTTGCGCGTTCTTTTAGATAGGGGGACTGCTGAAAGAGCGAGCTGTCCGGAATAGACGGACTAAATTAGCACGACCTAGCCGCCGCAGGCCTGACAGAAACCTGAAGAATCATGCAGAAAGGATGAGAAAGGAGTCAGTTTCATTCATTTTTATGCATTTTGTTGTGTTTTTTTTTACGATGGCGTCGTTCCGTTTTCCTTCGTTTTCTGTTTTTTTTCCCCTTCCAAATTCTTTATATTTGTATAATTTTGATTAATTTTGTATATATGCGTTTTTTTTGGGGGGGGGGAGGGGGAGTTAGGGTTTCCCTTTTTTTAACAGTTCAGTTTTTTTCTATATATTTTTTTAGAGTTTTTTTCATTTTTTTTGGTCATGGATTCTTATGACATATGGAACCCTGATTCTCATTTTGTAGAGATTTGTTTCTATGTTTTTTCCTGCCTATATTCCTTGATTCTGTGATGGCTGATTCCCATTTTGTAGAGATTGTGTGTTTTTTATTGTCTCCAGACCATTCATTTTGTAGACCGTCAACTTGCTGAGCCAGTTAATCTGTAGACGCGTGTCTGCACACCCTCATTCTGTAGAAACCATTTTCTACAAAATCCCTAGGCCAGGATCACCCCTCTAATTCCAACGGGGATATATTATCTAGTTAGGTTCTTTGGCATTGCAGGCGATAGAGGAGAACAAGAAGCTTTTTCAGGGGATGTTGTCCGAGACATCTTTAGACCTTTGGAATTCACCATTTTGGGAATAGCGTGTTTGCTGATCTTCGCACATGCTGAAAACATCAGTGATTGATAGTTGCGCAAATCATATAGGGTGCCTGCCAACCAGTTTTGAGATATCACTTTAGCCATCCTCCAGGCCACAACGCCTTGTTATACCAGTGGCGCGAGGAACAACTTCCTCACGTTGGGACGTTTTGGAGGACCACACCACCTATAATTACATGTTGAAGGAAGAACATGTGCACCCGCTTGCACCCCAGCATCATGCTGGGTGTACCGAACAAGCATGTTTGGCTCCAGCGTGTTATATACTAAGAAAAGTGAGGGAAGTGGCAGAAGCTTGACCCTCCGACTCACTAAGAAGTGGATGGCACGGTCCAATTGGATGTTGGTCTTCCTCTAGGAACAGGGCCAGGGTCTCGTTCCACTACTATGTCTGGTTAATCAGAGTGTATACAGGATCCCTTTCCAGTGTATACTAAGCCTGTATTTACAGGTCACGAAGAGCAACTCCAAAGTTCGGTCGAAGGTCCTGGTAGCTGTTTTGACCACTTCAGACCAATCCCAATCACTTCTCGATCCAAGCAGCTTTCGCCGCAATCGCGTTCGCGCGATCCAGCCGTGCCAAGGCTGGGCTCCACCACCCACCAGTCACCAAGGCGAGGACATCAGCAGAATGGGACCTTCGGATCTTCCCTCTAAGCCCCTGGTTTCCAGCCCTTCTGGTTGTTGAAAAACATGTTGGGATGGGACCCACATGGCTTCAATTGCCTGGTTATTTTTGGTTTAGCTTTGGGGTAACCAACACGGGCACCTAGTGCTAATGTCCAATCAAGGAGATTGAAACACATGCTTAAAAGCATACCGTTGTTACATATTCCAGCTCTGCCATCTCAACACCACAGCAAGCCGCGTCGTAATTCATGAAAAGCTCACCCTCAAAACCGGTGAGTGCATTCAACAGGATCATTGAAGGATCGTGGCCCCAAGTGCCCAATCAGTTCGTTGAAACGATCGCGAAAGGTGCAGGATCTAACTCAGTCTATTGGTGGAGGGAGGTCTTAGGAGTGGATTTAACATTCAGTCACCCAAAGCCTTTTCGGGGCAAAGGCTGCAAACTTCTGAATCTATATCCCTTGTAATGGGAAGTCTAGGTGAAGCGCATGCACACATACAAACACACATGCAGATATCTCTTGTGGAGGTCCCACATTGAGTCCACACTTCTCAAAGAAGTAATCGACATGTTTGTGGCTACATGTAATTAGCATCGTAACAAGTTGTTTCAGGGCCAAAGGTATACATAGCCAACAATAAGATAGAGAAGAACAACTTGACAAACTTATGTTTTTGATAAGTTAATGGATTTCTATTTTATTCACAGGACATGTACTACCCAAATCAAGCGCAAATCTTCCCAAATCTGCGAAACCTTAGTTTTTAGTGTGTCAATGCGTTGACGTCAGTGTTCGACCTCATCGGACGTTCTCAACCAGCAAGATGGAGGTCCGAGTCCGGGGCGAACGAGCTATCTGATCGTGTGTGGGAGCAGAAACGGCAAACGAGCCAAAGGCCGCTAAGTCAGGACCTGTTCTTTCTCGAGGAGCTCGGGTTTCCGTCGATCGCCCATCTTCTTCCGGCCGCTTTCCGAGTGGAACGCAGGAACGTGGGGGGAATCCCGAAGTGGCTGGAGAATGGCAATCCATTTCCGAGAAGAAAACAGCTTGGCTTGGGAGCAACAGAGGGAGTTGTGGTCTATGTCTATGATGCTTATCCTACCTCCTACCCAGTCAATGGATAACATTGTAAACTTGTAAACCTTTTTAGGGGATTCATTGCCCCACTAAACATGAACAGATATAGACATACATCCACAAGTTTGTGTAGCAAGTGCAGCTCAGCCTGGGTTTGAACCAGTCTTCTCGATAAAACATCATTAGGACGTGGGGCTCAACCGCAATTGCAGAAATTCAGGGGGTTTTCCGACTCAAGCTGTGCTGCCAATTTGGGACATCCACTGCAGCCATAGCCAGGCCACCCAGCGGTGAATTCCTGGGCGCAGCTCGGGACTCAGTTTGTTTGAAGACCTTGCTGCAACAACACTGAGGTGTGGCCACTTCTCAGGGTGACTAGGTTTCTTTGGGCCACATACTGTTCTGGCTGGACAGGGAGGGATGCCGACTCCAGGAACGTCCTATTATTGAGGCCTAGCGATCCCCCAAAACAATAGCCAATCTTGCTATGTCAGTTATGTCCCACAACTACCTTCGGTTTAGTTATGATTTGGGTCAGTAGTTTAATTAGGAGTAGTTTTCAGGCAAGCTACGCCGATAAAATAATATATGAAGGAAAGGAGTACTATACTTTAGGGGGAGCGGGGTGCACGACCTATTGCAGGATCAAACTTCCTACGGTGTCCCTTCTGTTGACACTTCCTACGGTGTCCCTCAAAATATCGGCCTGTAGACTTGCATCGTCAAGCGGAACATGTGTTCCGCACATAGAAATTGGCAGAACATGTACGGATCTGCGCGGGGAGTATGGCTGCAAGCAGCCAAGCAGCTGGAGACGGCAGCAAGCGAGCAATGGTGCGAAGAGCATGGAAGGCCCCGCCAGCTGGGCCTTGGCCCTTTTCAAGCCCGAAGCCACCAGCCCAGCGTAAACCGTTGACCCGTCCGTCAAATAGGATGCCAGCGTACAAAGGCACCTCGTTCGAGAAGAATCGAGCCCGCCACCGTGCATTCTTCAGGTCCTTGCTTAGTGAAGCGCATATCGGCCCCTGGCCAGCTGATAGGTAGGCTACAGCAATCCTTCCAAAGATGCTTCGTGCCTCCCTTCGGTGCGAATCTGATAAGTCCGATCTTGTCTCACGCCGCCCCCGC